ACCAGAGACATGGAAACCACAATGAGAAATTGAGAATTGGTATTTTTTTATCATAGGATTATTTTTTTCTTTTTTTTCTTTTTTTGTTTGAATTTTCTTAATAAATCTTGTTAGAAGTGTAGGGACTACTTTTATTAAAATTTAAAAATATATGGACTAAACTACAATTTAACCATTTGCTTTGACCGACGTGATCAATTTTTTAACAAGAACTAACGGGACCGTTAACAAAGTGATAATTTGCTTGAATAACAGAGTTAAGGGGGGCTCATAAATCTAAAAACTAGTTTAGGGGCTTGTGTCCAAAAATGGGATAAGTTCGGGGGCGATATGGTATTGCCGTCATAATATTAATGTGAAACCAAAATCAGAAAAAATCATCTGAACATGTTTTCAAAAAAATAAAAATGAAAATCATGTAATCTTCCTTACAACATTGAAACCATAATCACGATGACGGATAATGAGAAGGAATTAATTTTCACAAACAAAAAAAAAAAAATCTCCAAGGATTGAAAGCCATTTTTCAAACTTTCCCCTTCTTCACGCTGAACCGTAAAAACTATATTATAGTGCCTTAATTACTTAGTCAGAATCTTTATCTTTAGTATAACTTCTGGAAAACGTGTTTTACTTGCCTATCCATGGGACTATATATTAACGTGCAACCATAATTAAAAACCACATCCATCTTCCATACCATATTGAAACCATAATCATGAGGGAAAATTTCCATGCTATGCTTATTCTAGTGGCTATATTGTTCTTTGGAGCTGCAGAGTTCTGCTTCGGTCGGAACACGAGCTTCAGCTGTATAGAGGGGGAGAGAGAAGCCCTCTTGAAGTTCAAACTTTGTTTCAATGATTTATCTGATATGTTGTCTTCTTGGAAAGGCTATGATTGTTGTGAATGGAGAGGAGTAGGCTGTGACAAAAATAGCAGACATGTTGTCTCGCTTCAACTCAGGGGATCCGTATTTGATCAACCTCAATTGTACTTAATTGATGATGTAGAGGAGGTTGTTTCAAGTTTGCTCAAGCTGAGATACTTGGCACACCTGGACTTGAGCGGAAATAACGTCAACAGCAGCCTTGTTCCGCCCTCCTTTGGTTTGATGAAGCAGCTAAGGTACTTAAATCTCTCTTCTGTGAACTTCAAAGGAAGAATTCCTGGTGAACTCGGAAATCTTACGAGGCTTCGTGTTCTTGATCTTTCTGATAAATATTTTGAACAATTGGAGGTTGATGACGACATTCAGTGGATTTCTCGTCTCCCATCTTTGCAACAACTTGATATGAGTGGAGTAAATTTGAGCCGTACCTCATCCAACTTGTTCCAGGTACTTGGGATGCTTCCTTCATTATCATGGTTGAGTCTACCATCCTGTAGTCTCAACAATTCTCACCTATTGTCTCATAGCCCTCCCTTTAATTTTACATTTCTTGGAAATATTAAGTACTTAGATCTTTCACAGAACTCTTTCCAAGGTCCAATACCTCTATTTCTCCAAAACATGACTTCCTTGAAATTTCTTGATCTTTCTAATAGTCACTTGAGTGGGAATATTTTCGATAGCATTGGACAACTTTCTAAATTAAAGAGCCTAGATTTCTCTGACAATCAATTGAGTGGAAGTATTCCAGATAGCATCGGACAACTTTATAAGTTAAAAACCCTATATCTTTTTGGCAATCAATTAAGTGGAAGTATTCCAGATAGTATTGGACAACTTTCTAAATTAGAGACCCTATCTCTTTCTACCAACCAATTGAGTGGGGGTATTCCCAATAGTATCGGGCAACTTTCTAAGTTAAAGAGTATAGAACTTTCTAATAATCAATTGAATGGGATGATCCCAGATAGTATTGGTAAACTTTCCAACCTAGAAATCTTGTATGTTCAATATAATTCCTTAGGAGGTGTCATTTCAGAAGCTCACTTTGCAAACCTCTCCAAGTTGATACAGTTAGACATTGGGCTTAACAACTTGAGTTGTGAGATGAAATCTGACTGGAGACCTCCTTTCAACCTTAGTTATATCTCCATGTACTCTTGTAAACTTGGAACAAGATTTCCTGAATGGCTTCAATTCCAGAAGACAACAACCATGGTTGATCTCTCTTTTACTGACATCTCGGGACCTCTTCCAGAAAACATCGGTCATATGATGTCAGAGCTACAGGAATTATATCTTGCAAATAACCTCTTGAATGGTTCAATTCCAAAGTCGTTATGCAATTCAAAATCTTTGCAAATTCTTGATCTCTCAAACAATATGTTATCTGGAAATATTCCTAAGTCACTGTGCAATTCAAAAGCTTTGGCAGTTCTTGATCTCTCAAGCAACATGTTATCTGGAAGTATTCCTAACTGTTGGAGAAATGATCAAGCATTCTATTTTATGGATCTGTCTTCCAATAATCTATCGGGTTTATTTCCAAGCACAATTAGGCAACTTTCTTTCCTACGGGCACTACAGTTGAGCAACAATAGTCTACATGGGGAACTACATGTGGCCGTGAGAAACTTCACTTCCCTAACGGTTTTGGATTTGGGTGAGAATAAATTTTCTGGAAACCTAACATGGATTGGGGTGTGTGAAATTGACCATCACTCTCTAAAGGTCCTCCGACTGCGAAAAAATTTATTTTCTGGTTATATTCCTTTAGAACTGTGCTCACTCTCTCAATTGCAAATTCTGGATCTTGCAGATAACAATCTGACAGGAAAGATTCTTCCTTGTTTTGGAAAATTTCCGACTATGGTGAATGCAACACATTTGAACCCTGACAATGATGACGATTATTATTTGTTTTGGACGCAATTGATGCAGGTTGTGAAAGGGAGAAACCTTGAGTATTGGAAAAAACCCCTAGGACTCCAGATAAGTATAGATCTTTCAGGTAACAATCTAGTGGGATCCATTCCTGAAGAGTTAGTTTTACTTAAAGGATTGCACAATTTGAACCTATCTTGGAATCATCTCCTAGGAGAGATCCCTAAGAATATTGGACAAATGGAGAATTTAGAATCTCTTGATCTATCCCAAAATGAGCTATCGGGAATGATTCCAAACAGCATGTCAAGTTTAACCAAGTTAAGCCACCTTAACTTGTCATACAACTACTTGTCAGGGCCAATTCCAACAAGCACTCAGCTCCAAACACTCGAAGATCCTACCATTTACGCTGGCAATCCTCAACTTTGTGGAGCTCAACTCCCAAAGAAATGTTCAAATGATTCATTGCCTCCGAAAACCCCCAACTCCAAGGACAGCAATAAAGATGCATTTGAAAAAATGTGGTTTTACATTTTCTTGATGTCAGGCTTTGCAACTGGATTCTGGGGAGTTGTTGGAACTTTGATTTTTA